TACATACATACGTAGGTATGTATGTATGTGTTTGCATGCATGCATGCGTGCGTGTGTGCATGCATGGATGGATGGATGGATGGATGGATGGATGGATGGATGGATGGATGGATGGACGGATAGGTATGCATGCATGCGTGCATGTATGCACGTATGCATTCAAGCACGTACGAAAGAATATATTATGTGCTGTTTTATACAAACATGCACGTGGGTTTGTGTGTCTGCGCGCTGTATACATGTGTACGGTGTGCTTGCATTTGCATACGGTCCAAATGCCTTTAGCCATACCTGATAACCAAAAGTTGGCGCACTATTGACGATGATGAACGCTGATTGCTACGACGGTGTCAAGTGCTCTGTGCGACACGAGCTGGGTCGTCGGCTGCCGAACAAGTGACAGGCACCGGCGTGAGTCTGCGTGCGCATGTATGTATACACTGAATAAACTAGTTCTCAGCCCTAAGCCACCAACACATACCAAGGCCCGTGCCGTAGAGGGATGCGAACCGCTGTGCATTTCGCGCTTCACGTCGGTAGTCCAGCTCCTCTGTGGTACTAGTAAGCTTCCGAAGTCAGCATGATCGTTCTGAATGTTGTTGCTAGAGGCAGTAGTGGTGGTAGTAGTAGTAGTAGTAGCAGCAGTAGCAGTAGCAGTAGCAGCAGCAGCAGTAGCAGCAGCAGCAGCAGCAATAGTACTACATTAGTACCACTAGCAGCAGCAGTAACAGTAGCAGTAGCAGCTAGCAGTAGCAGCGGTGGTGGTGGTGGTGGTGGTGGTGGTGGCAGTGGCAGTGGCAGTGGCAGTGGCAGCGGCATGCAGCGGCAGCGGCAGCGGTAGTGGTAGTGGTGGTAGTAGCAGCAGTAGCACTAGCAGTAGCAGTTGTAGCAGTAGTCGTCGTAGGTCTAGTGATATCGTGATACAGTGTTGTGGCAGTGATAGTGGTGGTGCATGTAATTTAGTAATGGGAAGGGGGTGGTGGTCGAAGTCGTGGGAGTGGTCGTCGTCCTGCTCCTGCTCGTCGCCGTCGTCGCCCCCGTGGTCGCCAAGATCGAAGTTGTTTGTGGGGCCACATCACCCCTCTGATTGATGGCTTGGGATTGGAAACCTGCCTTTGTGCAGGGAGGTCTCTCATGAGCAAGGACATGCATACTCAGGGTGATCCTCGAAGAGACGCGAACAGAACTCATCGACGGCGCCAACAACCTAAGCTGATAAGCATGTGTGTGAAAGCCTACCGCTACCAGAGTGAATGTAATGTCGTCTGTCCACTTATGCAACCAACGGTGCCCCGGTCTTCTGCCTGCACCCTTCTACCTCCGATAGCACAAAGACTCAGGCGCACGCCAGAACAAAACAGCTAGAGCATGCAAGAGCACAGCCCCGACCGGCACCACCTCTGTACCACCTGAACCGCCGTTGCCCCCACCTTCATCACAAATTGGTTCTACGATTCCGACTGTTGCTTTATGTGACAGGCGTAATATATCGGATCTCGTGTGTCTACTGTCCGTCACTATCGCACCAATGCTCGCTTGATATTGGCACTTGGCGCCTACTGACTTGCACTGGTGGTGAATTCAAAGATTCAAGCTGGTTTTCAAAAGGACCTTCACCGCCTGAACCGGACCCCGAAGCCAAGCCTCCAACGTCAAGTGCGGCTTCTGTCAGGCGACAGCAATTGCAGTCCAAGCAGCATTCGCCCGTATGAGCTGCTCACCACCTCGGGGAGTCAACTCGAAACTAGCGTGCTTGTGCGCGAGTTCGAGGCAGGCATGACGAGGAGGCCGACAGTAGCGCTTGCACCGCGGCCATCGCTATAGACCAACCCAGAGCAGCGACATCCGGCACCACCAGAGGAGGACGAAATCAAAATCATGAGAACCACAGTCATGCCATGACACCACAGCGATACCCATGACATGCAATAGGAGTCAACGACCCTTTACGAACCTGTAACAACACAGCCCGGAAACGCAGTGCAGGGAAGGCACCAGGGCTGCGGAGGGCGGACAGAAATCTTGCAGCGAGCCTTCGCATCGATGAGCGCGGCGGTGGCTCCAGGGCTGAGTGTTGAACTTACAACCCTAAAGGCAACAACACTTTAGCTCTTGAAGCCTGCGTCTGTTGGCTGTCGACTCTCCGACGTGGGACTGGGTTCGCTGAGACTGCGGGAACTTGCCTTCCACAGCCCCTCGGCCCTAGGATAGAGCCGGCCGCAACAACACCCGAAGAGGATCTTGGTGCTTCACGGTTTCTGTCGGTTAGAGGTGTATAAGGCATCTAAAGTCCTGGGCAGGACACACAGACTTTCTGTGATGCACCGATCGTAAACATGCTTCCGATGTTTTCCGATTCCTTGAGAACCGAGGCAATCCTGCATCCTGGAAAAGTCAGACATTTACAACCTGAAAGTCCAACACTCCGACTCGTGGGTGCCTTCCCACACCAAGCCCCATGGTGGTAGTCTAGCGAAACGAAGATGACGGAGGACATGCAGATGATTCAATGCGAAACAGCATGATAAAATCATCATCTTGTCCTCATCACTACCATCATAAGATCAGTCGTGGCAACCATGGTCATCAGAAGCAACATGATGCTGCTGACAAGCAGGATGACCATGATCAAACGATGCCGACGAGGATGCATTACCCCGAGATGGTGACGACCGTGCTGATACCGGCAATAATGGCGACTGCATTCCGATCATACACCTGTTAGGCGGCGTTGTCCAACGATCATTGTTGTTGGGGTGCGGGCACAGCTGGAGACATTCGCTTCAGCACATCCCCTAACATTGCCGCTTTGGGGTATAGTATAATACCCTGTGTATCTAAAGTAAGGAACCCTCAGGAATAATCTTTGCAATCGCTCAGGCCCCTGCGTTACACCCTACCGCCCCATAATGCCCCAGACCCTAAACCCTAAACCCCACACCCTACACCCTACAACACCCTAAATCCCAACACCCGAAAAGCCTCAAGAGCGCAGCATCGGCGGCGGCAAGGCGCCGCACCTCGGGCCGCTGGACCTCCGGGCAAAGACGAAGCAGGACACCCTAAAATACATGTAGGCTTCAGGGACACCAGATGACACAGGGGTATCTGAAAGGGGGGGAGGGCATGGGATCCTGGAGGAGTTTGGGGGTTTGGGGTCAGGAGTGGAAATTTTTACGTGTTGCTACGCATGGTAGGGGTTTTCAGCGACCTTCTTCAGTCTTTAGCTGACAAGGATCAGAAACCTGCCCGGTCTCGCGGTGTCCCGGCAGAAGCCCTGAAGTCCTAGAACAGAGTTTGATGGTTCCGGGCTCTTTGAATATTCAGGGAAGCCAATGAATGATGCAAAAAGATGATTAACACTCAGCGATGTCTTGCCGTGTCTTACAGACCGCTGCTCAGGGACCCGATCTTTCACGAATAGCCTAGCGCCTCCCCAACAGCTTCGGGGTTTGGAGGGTCTGGCAGATGCCTGTCAGATTCGGGGGCGTCAGTTCCGGTTGTGAGGCAGGCAGGCGGCACCAAAGAAGGAAACCTTGAGCTATCGAACAAGATAGGATCGTCCTCCGCCAACTCTCCTCCGGCCTCAGGCATCCTGTCACCGAAAACACAGCAATGCAAGAGATGATATGCAGCTGCCTTCACAGCCACCCTGCGCCCCCGCACGAAACCTGCCAGTGGGGCACGGCTGCAGAAACCACATCCACTGCAATCTGTCAGCGAAGGGAATGAACAGAGGGGTGCGTCGTGAAGAGGCCGAGAGGCTTCAATCACAAGCTCTCACAAGAATTGTCTGAAGTGGATGCCTAAAACCCGTCGGCGCGATCGCAAAGCCACAAAAAGAAGCATTTTCGGCCTCTCTAAGGTGGGTCGTAGTGATCAAAATGCACCTGAACATACCTCAAAGCCGCCATCAGCAATGCTTTCAGAATGGTCCAACAGCCCACACCTTCACCTCCACTTCACGTCGCTGGAGACACTATGTCTCTATGTGCTAGGAGGAAAAAGACTTCAGCCCTGGACCCCTGAGCCAAACGTGAGCCCGAATCCCAATGCGGCACCAGAAACCACTTCAGCCTTGGTAGACTTGGCCCAGGGATGCCGCCGCAACGGGCTCGGCGTCCTGCAAGGACCTGATTCTATCAAGATAAGCAGCTACAGCCATCTGACGACAGCCCACCCTACAATCCTGCTTCTATCGCTATTGGCTACAGAAGGTTCGGCCAGTATGATGCATCTTGCTCCTGTTGGCAAAGAGAGATTGGAAATGGAACCTAATGGATAGTTTAACCCATGCACTAAAAGCAAAATTATGTTGCGGGATGTAGATTCCATGGCTAGCAAGTGGTTAGCACTGCCACCTTCAGAAAATCTTGTAACCTAGTGGAACTGGAATTGGTGTATGCCGTTGTGGGCATCTTCCACTTCGTGGACAAGCCTTATTGGTGTTGACTAGGTTGTTGTGCTCGCCGCTGTAGCTGCGCATGGCTATGGCGCTGCACGCCTCTGCACACCTCAGCCAACCTAGGTAGGCCCATGGCTCTGCACGGAGTGTCTCAGTGGCTGTTGCTCCGAGAGGCAGACGACAGCAGCTTCGAGGCGGCATGCTGGTCCTTCGAAGCACGAGAGGCGGTGCGCTGGAGCTAAGAAGTCCTCTGCAGCCTAGGTCATCCTAGGTCCTACATCTTTTTTGACAATTCAAGCGCACTGGTTCCAACTTCCCAGCCGTTCCTCCGCGAGTGCCAGTTCCTCCTTGATGATGTCCAGCGCTCGCACCGTGTCAAAGGGTGCCAGGTCGTCCTTTCTTGAGTGTCAGCTCGATGCACAACAATCTATGCCACGACATCGCAGAGGTAAAACCCGAAAGCAACAAATCACGGACTTGAGATGCCGCCTGAAGCTGAACAAGCTCGTCGGCAACTTCCGAGGTCACAAGATCAGGACCTTTGAGCCCGGGACAACGCGTGGCTAAGATACATAGCCGACTATAAACTCGAGACGACCTCTACTGGTGCTTACCGAGTGATGTGAACAAATACCTGGCGGCGGTCTGCACCTCTAAAGTCTGTGATTCAAGGAACTCCGAATGCGGAACCTAGACTGCCGTTCTGTTGAATTAGCATCCCTTGGGAGACGAAGCGAGTCCAAGTCATCACCACAGTGGCAGTGTCCGAGGCTTGCACGGGATGCCAGCGCTTGACCCAGCTTGATGTACCTTGGGCTGTACAAGCCCCAGGCCACGACATTACGAATATGGAGATGATCAATCAACTTTGGCGGATTGCTATGCCTAACAACCGCGAGAGTTTACTGCGCCTACCACCGCGAGAGTTTCAAAAACATTGGCTCCGGATGTCGCGAAGACTCAGGCATCATAAGCATGGACCTATCCAGGCAACGAAACTCAACAGAAACATAAACACCAGAGACACACACAAATGGGACCGGCAGACAGACACAGTGTCAGAAACACAGAGACAAGCGAGATAGCGGCATTCCGTCTGGACCAGGACGTCTGCGGCGCCCCGTCCAAACTACAAGATTGTGTAAAACCTTGACCCGTGATGCTTGATGACCTGATACGTGGAGCTCCTGCTCGAGACCCAAAGCGCTTTAAAAGCCCAAGTTTGAACCCTATGCCCTCAGTCCTGCCAAAGTCCCAAACCAGGGTGAAGCATCAAAAAACCAAAATAATAATCATCATCATGATCATAATCATGATAACAATAATAATAAGAAGAAGAATAGTATGTCGCGGGTGTATCCCCCGCATGGTATACATCCGAAATCCTCGTAAGGGTAATCATTTTTGCCTCAAAACTGCCAACAGTCACAGCGATGGGCCCCCCGAACCTGGGATCCTCGTGAATGTTGTGACTTTTGAGCTATGCAACTTCGTGGCAAGTCTAAAGTGGTGACACTCACCTGGATGGGCTATGGTTTCGGTCCGCGACGTGCCCAGCTGCTGAACCTCAACTTCAAGTCCTTTCATATCTATACACCTAAACCCTAAACAACCCCACCACCCACACCACAGGCGGGCGCAAACCCTAAACCTTAAACCCAACACCCACCACGACAAAACAGGGAGGGGGAAAGGGCGGGAAGCACTAATCCTGACACAACCCACCACCACACCAGACCACACCACACCGCACCACAGGGGGGGAGAGGGGGGAGTTAAATAACCCCAAAGCCACCACCACACCACAGGGGAACGAGGGGGGTTTAACAACACCCACCGAGTTTTCCCTGGGAAATGCCGAGCGAAAAGGTTCATAATGCGGATAAGCGAGCATGAGTCCGTAAAGAACAAAGCCACGAAGGTTGAAGAATTCGCCGGAACCTTTTCCTTCTTCTTAGCCGCTTGCAGCCCGTGAGTCTGTAGCACGCACGCGGTGAGGAGATCCACGAACCGTTTCCCCGAAGCCGGCTTCTCTAACAGCGCTGCCTTCTTGGACTCCAACTCCACGCCTTCCAGTGGCACATCGGTGGTTTTGCCAGCGAAGATGCCTGGTGTAGTCAAGCTCGCGAAGGCCAAGATCCAGCTCGAGTCCACAGTGAGGGCGGCCCAAGCCTACGAGCTTGCTCCACACGCCCCACTCTTCTCGCAGGCTATTCCCTATCATCACCAGGCCTTGCACCGCGTACTGCAGGTCCTCCATGGACCGGTCCATGTCGGGATAGTCGTTGTGATTCAGCCTGCATTGACGCTGGGGTACTTGAAGCTATACTTTTACCTTGTCTTCGGGCTGCTTCTTAGCACTAGTCTTTTTTTTAGGGACGGAGTGCCGGCCTGACAGCACCACTCGAGCTCATGCGTAGTCCACAGAGATCGCCACTTCTGAACCACTTTCTCTGCCACGATATCCTTAGCCAGGCCTTCGATGATTTCGTTGAGATTGAGGAAGCAGCTGCTTTGCTCTGATAGCCCGACGCCGGGTCGATTTATCAGCTCCGTGTTGTTGGCGGCCAGAGCGGAGGCAAAAGCCTGAGGGGAAACGAGCAATTGCGGTCTTTGCAATCCTTCCCACAGAGCGGAGGACCCGCCGGTCTCCCCGACGCGGGACTTGCCTGGGTATTTCGCCTTTGTCGCCCTTGCCGAAGCGGCTGCTGCCGGCATATCGTGTGCTGGGTGCCGCGAACATGGTGCTTTCAAGGAGAGAGACTGAAGTGCGTCAGATGCTTTGTTGCTTCAGGGAACTCTGCGGAGAATGCGTTCCTACTCTGGCAGGCCCTGTCACCAAAAAGGTACGGAGCCTACGATGCCTGGACACGCTGCAGCAGAATCACTCCGAAGTCCTCGCTCCCGTCCATGGAAATAAGTGTCGACGCAGTCGGAAGTGAGCCTTCGTTCTGCAAAGAGTCCCGAAACCGGCGCAGGAGGGGGGTTCAAGGGGCGAGGTCCTCCTGCCCCCTCTACGAGACAGCTCGCGGATCCCAAGGAACAATGCTGTAAGAAGACATAGAGGCTCCACCTCACGGCTTAGCAGGAACAAGAAATAGAAGTCACCGCGAGAAGGTCTTTGCCACAGCACACACATCAAATGCTGGGCTGCTGGACAAGGCACGGCGCAGAAGCAATATAATCCTGAGCTTTGTCAGGGTCTGTGAGAATGTCGAACTACGTCGTTCGGACAGACATGGATACCCACAGACGCTGGAGCTTCTGGCACATACCCTCGTAGTGTACGCGTACCAATTTGCCGGACGTCGTGTCTGCGCGTGTGCACCACACCACAGGGAGGGGGGAAGAAAATTTAACATTAAACCTGAAATCCACAACCCACCACTACACAAGACCACCACAAAAAGGTTAAATAACCCAAAACCCACCCCCATACCACAGGGGGACGAGGGGCGTCACAAAAACCCAACACCCACCACCACACCACAGCGGGGGGCCGGGGCGTGGGACAGCATGAGGCCACCCACAGCCCCACAGAAAAGCGGAGCAAAGAGCGGGCTGGCACGCACCACAGCCAGGCCGGGCCAAGCATGATGGGGGGGAGGGCCGGGTAGGGGGGATACCATGGGGTGCAGAGCGGGGGTATATACATATCCCTATACATATACAGAAACAAATACATCCTCATCATCACCATCCTCATCATTATTTTCGTCATCGTTATCATCCTGTGGAAACACACGAAATGAAGCTCTGGGAATGAAGGTTTCGGCTTGATGTTTCAGAGGATGCTTTCTTTATGCTAAGCTGCTTACTGTCTGCAAAGCGGTGCATGGGCCTAATTGTGGTTTATAAGGCAAATACGTTTATAATTACTTTGGATCTGTGGTAAAGGAATAACTTCTCTTCGCTGAATTGCTGGTCTTTCTTTGGTTCTTGCTTCATTCGCTTGTCGTTCGTTCTGTTTTCTTTATCTCTTGCTGTCGTTCTTTCTTTCTGTCTTTGTGTGTTCTTTCTCCCTGCGCTGACTTTATGTCATTCTTTCTTTCTTTGTTTATGCTGTCTGCCTTTCGAAGTGCTATCTCTGCTTTCTTACTTGCTTAATTATGCTTTTGTCTTTTTGTTCTGTCTTTCCTACATTATTTCTGCACTTCTTTATGTCTTTTAAGTCTCTGCACTGAATTGTTGTCCTTCTTTCTGTGGTTCTGTTTGTTGTTTGTTATGTCGTTCTTTCTTTGTTTCTTTCGTTCTTTCATTCTCTCCGCCCTCCTTTCTAGATTTTGCTTGGAGCCGTTTTCTTTATCCCTGAGACAGGTATTGTGTTGCTCCGTTGTAGAAAAAAGAATAGGTTTCTTTATCCGTTAAAACGTTTTTTCCCCCTTAAAACAGTTTGCTTTTAACCCCTATCCCCAAAAGCATCAGAAGGACCAAGGCACGAAGGGCCCAACTCACACAGCGTCGTCAACACCTGAAGGCACACTTCGGACGGGGACATGCTCAGACCGCCGATGCCGGCACCGATTCAAACGGTGTTGCACATGGACCTCTGTTGATTTGCTCGCTTACTTCGCGGCTCCTTGCTGAAAATGTGCCTTTCGAGAAACCGAGCAGAACTTTAAGAATAATAGTAACAATAGTAAGAATAACAATAATAATAGTAACAATCAATATATATATATATATGTATATGTATATATTTATATAAGTTTACCGCCCCTGCCTGTGGTGCGACCTGCCGGCGGCAGGATGCCCAGGCCTCCCACACGAGGCCGCAGCTTTAGGGAGAAGTCCCTTTCTAGCCTGAGCTGAAATTAAGCTTGCCAGGTTCAAGCCCACTCAGAATCCTGAATTGGAGAAAAAACCGAGAAGTAAGATCTTAAGCATCAAGCTGTGTTCAATTTGGGATGGGCACATTGTAGCTGAATCCCGAGGTCAGCTGAGTCATGCTGAGTCACAGGAGAGCTGTTTCCAACGAAGGTAGAGGACTACGCTTTGTGAAATCATGAGACATGAATCTCGAAGGTACTCAGCTCCTCCACTGGCCACCTTTTTGTTGGGCACATGGCGGCTGTTCCCACTGGAGATGGTGCAATGCGTCGATGTCTGTACACGACTGCCACGAAAGCAGGCCACATGTTGACACACATGCCAGTGGCTGGCTTTAACAAGCCGCAGCATGAATCTCGAGCAGGCACAGGCCAGAAACCACGCGTAGGCGCGCTTCTTATGACCTCGACTCCATCATGAGAGGTTCTCTCCTGCGCCCGAAAACGTGAGACGGCGCTGTCCCTTCCTTGGCTTAGCGGCCAAGCGCTTTGAGGACCGAGGGCCCTGTTGGCATCTGTGTTGGTATCCTACACTTTCGCGACACACGGAGCTCCAAGATCTATGTCACCCTGCCAAATTTGCGGAACCACTAGCGAAGATCGTCTGACGTTGAAGCCTCGTCGAACTTCCTTCAGTGTGACTCTTTGGCTGACCTCATGAGAGATCATATGATTGCTTCAATACCGTCCCCTAAATAGTATGTGTGTAT